TTTTTTTTTTTTTAAATAAGGTTCTTAAGCATTCTTGGATTTTTGTATCTGTAGGCTGTAGGTCCTAGAACTAGTCCCCTAGATACGGAGGAACATCCGTATTGTCATATGATTTCTGTTTTAATGCCATAATTGTAGCATTAAAATATTTTATAAAACTCTCCAATATATAAATTATTTTTGTTTAATTGTATCATTACTTTCTACTCTTTAGAATATTAATAAGTTTTGTATACCTGTAAACTATCCAGTAGCTTTACTTTCTGACTATACATTGTTTCTTTAAGAAAAACATAATTGTTTAGAAATCTGATGTTTTTCTTTGGATATTTACTTTACTGTTTTTTWAAAAAAATAGCTCTGTTTATTATGTTTGGAAAATTACATTAGATGCATTGACTGCTTCCTGAGTTTCCCAGAGACTAATTGAACCCAGATACAGTATTGCAAACTCCAGACCTTTCTCTATTTCCAGATAAAAACAAGAATCTAAATTTTACATCTTTAGGAGAATAACACCATAGCCAATACTTACACCATTTCCAGTAAAGGGTAGCCCATAACTAGAAACCTAAGCACAGCATATTTGTTACTGTGCAGTGTAAAGGTAGAAATGTATTTCAAAATATTAATCACAGAATTGAAAGAAAAAGCACTTTTTCTTTCAGGAATTCGAAAGAGGCAAACCTCACTAAAATGTAAAATATTTTGTTGTCTTCAACAACTCTTTGGTTCATGAAGAAATTTCTTATACAATTTAGTATACCAATATGTTTGCAAAGACTAGCATTTCAACTGCTTTTTTCTCTCTTGTACTCTTGTAGGCATTGTCAGAGGATACAGCTAATGGAACATGGTACTTTTTATAGATGTAAGAGGTTTAAGTTTCCATTAGATGGAACACTTTCATGAGGTAGATAAGTGTTTTATGCTTCCTACTCCATTCATAAAAATGTGGTAGATATTTTCATAACTAGAACTCTTTCCTGGGAAGTCCAGCTTTGGTGTCTTTTGGATTATTCTGTACCATTAAAATTGCATCCCTTCATCCCAGGTACTTTACATGAAATATCAAAAGTGAAAGATAGTTGTTTTATTCCTTCATTCTTCGTTATTTTCTCCTATCTTATATGTTTATTAGCTTCTTATAGAACAGATTAACATATGACCTTTATTTATTTATTTTACTTATTTTCAGGACTGAAAATCAGCTATATATTCCCTTTTTATCACCCCTTTCTCTCTTTTCTTCTATTTCTTAATTTTGGGTAAAGAAAGAAAATGATTTAATTTTCCAGCTCTTTAAATAAATTTCACTTTTTTTTTTTTTTCTTGAGCCCTTTTTTTCTTTCTTCAGTCATACTCTTCTCCCTTTAAAAACTCTCTACTGCTTTCTGGTTTGTTTATTTCATTTTTGTGGTTCTGGGCATTGAACCCAAAGGCCTTACGTATGCTAGGCAAGCACTCTACCACCGAACCACATCCCCAGCCCTGTTAATTTTAGAGCGTGACCTTGCCTGGTGTTGCTACCATCATTGGCTTCAGCAGGTCTTTTATGCAAACAATGTGCTGATGACTTGCTGGGCATTAGAGATGCCAAGATAAACTACCCAGTTTTCATTCTTATCAGGCTTAAAATTTGGGGTCCAGCTGTTTGCTCCTAACAGTTCAGATTCCTCAGATTTCTCCTAGTCTTGTTTTCTTTGCTAGAATATACCTATGCTTCTCACTAGCCAATCCTCTAGCACTTATTTTGAAAGGTTTCAGGATTTTGTCTATTGTAAATACCTCTCACTTGTGTACTATTTCAGTGGCTTAGTTGTGCTTTTCCCTGCCCTCTGAGAGTGTGATGATATTCCAAAGACAGTGTTGGTTTGTGAATGTTGGATACCATTGCTCCACTTGGTTCTCCCTATAACCTCTGCAAAATGCTATTATTCCATACAAACTATTTCTTAATAATTTTGGATCATCTATATGTTGCTTGCTTGTTTTATTTCCAGCGTAAAAGCTAGGGCACACTGAGTTGCAGCCATTTCTTTGTAAAACTTAAAAATTAAACTGACTTGTGAAAATTATGTAAACATTTCCTTCTTACAGCATTTTAAGTCTTCCACATCAAGCATCTCCAGTATCCCGCACCCCCAGCCTTCCTGCTGTAGACACAAGCTACATTAACCCCTCCCTCATCCAAGACTACAGGCATCCTTTTCACATGACACCCATGCCTTATGACTTACAAGGTGAGTCACTGGTTTTTCTGTATTATCACACAGTATTATGAATGTCTTTGATCTATGTAGTCTAAGGAAGAATTGGAAGATTGCGAGAATAGGGTCTTGGGCTCAGAGAATTGAGAGAAATAATGTACTGTGGTTATAAAAACTGACGTATTTCCTTGATGGTTCCTTCATCGGTAGCCAGTGTTTCGTTATCAGTGTTTAACTAGTGCAATGATGACTAGGTTTTATGAGCTTCAAAATATTTTACAAGTTGTTTTTTAACAACTTCAAACTTGTGACTTTGAATTTTGATATCGATGGGCATTACATTTTGTTCCCTGATTCTAGTCATAACGAGTAGGGATTATGTATAACCATGCTATTGTCTTTTAGATAGTGCTGAATTGAGACATTTTGAAAGTCTTAATTTTGGTTCTCCTGAACCTGATCCTTCTTTTCAAAAGCAGTTTGAAATGTTAGTTTACTTATTTGTATACAGTATTTTGAGTTCATAATAATCATTTACGTTATCAAAGAATTGCAGCTTGTTTTCATGTATCTGTAATTTAATAACATATTAAAAACATTTTTCTTTTATTACAAAAAGCCATATACGCTCTTTGTACAAAATTCAATATAGAAATATACAGTGAAATTTTCTCTCTATCCTTCTCCCAAGCCCACTCTCCAGAAGTAATAGCTGTTCTTAACAGCTTGCTAAGTATCTTTCCATACCATTTTACCACATAGATGTCACATGACACTAACCATGGTGCTACACATTTTGTAGATCACCATATTATAATCTGTTCTAGTATAGACAGTGATCCCCAGAGTACTTTGTCATATTTTATCTACATCTGCTTGTTGTCCTTTTATATATAATGAAACATTTCATTTGTGTTAATTACTTGCTTTTCACATTACACATTGGGCGATATAGGCAAGAATGTGATAGAAGGGGTCAATTTGCAGTGAATCCCAACAATCAGGGATCAGGGCTGGGCCTTAAATGTACACTACACCAGMTCTCAGGCACACTCCCTCTCAAGTCTTTCTTTCCCCTCATGCCACTGCAGAGATGGTGCTGGAATGTACATGTGATAGTAAATGAGTGAATTTGGGAAAGAGAAGGAAAATCTGTGTTACAATTTGCTTGACCTGTTTCAAATTTCAACCTTCTCATCTATAAAATCAGGGCCAAAATAATCCCCTTCCTCCTGAGGTACTTGTGGAAAGTTAGAGTAGATTGAAAGGTTGGTTATTTAAGGGGACTCAAAGCAAGGGATCAGTGTTAGATTTAATAAGTTAGTGATGGTCCATGTCCCTCAAATGGAGTGACAGGGAGAGCAAATCATTGCTAAGACTTGGACGTAAACCTTCATAATTTAACTCTTCATGTTTAGATAAAATTCTAAGTGACAGAATTAAGATTTCTATTTGTTTTTGGAGTATTGGGGCATTTGGAAGGGTTTTTTGTTTTTGTTTTTTGTTTATTTTTTATTTTGGTTTTTTTTTTTTTCAAAACTAAAATAATTTTTTCTCCCACAGGATTAGATTTCTTTCCTTTCTTATCAGGAGACAATCAGGTATGTTATATGAAAACAAAATTACTGTTATTTTAATTGTATATTCAAAAGTATAAAATGTAGCCAGGAGAAATAATAATTTATCTTGGAAAATAAATTATTGCTATGGCATTAGTAATTTAAATAAAAGTTCCTGGTTTCAGTATTGTCTCAGCAGGTAATAAGAACAGTGTTGGTTTGTTGGTTAAAGAAACAGGGAAGTTCATATTGGCTGATAGATTTCTTGGCCAAATACAGTCATGCACCGCAGTGTTTTGATCAAGGACAAACTACATATATGACAGTGATCTTATGAGATTACAGTGGAGCTGAAAAATTCCTATTGCTTCATGACATTGTAGCCATTGTTATGTCATAGCACAACACATTATTCATGTTTGTGATGATTCTGGCATAGACAAATCTCTGCTGCTAGTGGTATAAAAGTGTAGCTCATACAATTATGTAAAGTGCATAATACTTGATAATGATAATACATGTTAAATGGCAGCAGCCTCGTATGCCTCATTTACTGCATCTCTTGATTGCATYATTTTCTCTTGTGTTGCTTTGTTCATTCTGGCCCCTAACCATACAAAATTCACTGCTGGTGTTGCCAGTCAGAGGGCATCAAGTGATGTCCTGGAATCAAAATTAAAAGTCATTAGGGGGCTAGGAGTATAGTTCAGTGGTAAAACACTTGTCTAGTGTGTTCAAGATTAATACTCAACACCACACATACACACATACAAAGTGATTAAGGACTATAATTGTGGAACATTAGTGATGGTTATTGCTTAMCAGTCAGGCATGTCCCATTCCACTGTAGCTGTGAACTTGAAAGACAAGAACAAAGTGAGGGGGAAGCTATTAAAGGATCTGCTTCATTGAAGACAACAAGACTTGAAAGCACCCATTGCAGTGTTCTACAGGAGCCATAAGAAGTCACTTCTCTCCCAAGATGCCTTCCTGAATTGTTGTGCCAGTGCAGTGAAGTACTATAACATACCTTTCAAGTTTTRCTTATTGTTTATAATACTTCCACACATCCTCTCTATTAATGATCTGTATCTTAGTATCAGAATGGTGTTTCTCTCTCCAAACACCACTTCTTTGATCCAACCAATGGATCAAGGAGTTACAACGGCTTTCAAGGCCTATTACCTAAGGAGGTCCTCTGCTCGGACTAGGGCTGCAGCTGAGKAGGACACAGAAGATGCTGATGTAGTTCTGGAAGGATTGCATTTATGAATGAAAAACATGGTTTGGGCTGAGGTCACCAAGGAGTGTATGAATAGCATCTAAAAGAAGACACTCAGGAGGTTTGTCCTTGACTTCAAAGGATTTGCCAAGGATGAGGAAGTTGCAAAAATCAACAAGGTTGTGGTGGAGATGGTTGTGTGTGGAAGAGGATGACACTGAGGAATTCCTAGAGGTGACTCCTGAGGAATTGACTATTCAGAAGCTGTGGAAATTAGAACAGGAATGCATAGCTGAAGAAGAAGCAAAAGAAAAGGAAATTGTGGGAAAAGAAAAAGAAGAATCCCTAAGAAAATTCAAAGTAAAGGGTATGGAAGATTTTGCAGACCTCAACAAGGGCCTTAAATTTTTTGAAAACATGAAACCCAACATCAAAAGGTTTTCATTAAGAGAGAGGAATGTCTGTGGTGCATTATCTGCTTATAAGCAAATCTATAATGAAAAAGGAAAACAAACAAAGCAATTCATTGTGGACAAATTTCTGAAGAGTGCCACCTCCTCAGGAAGARCTCACAAGAAACTACAGAAGACAATATTGTTACAGAAGATGACAGCTTTTTGCTTGTYATTTTCCCTGAAGACCTTTCAGTAGGGACAGAATGTAGAGGTAGAAGACAGTGGTAATGATGACCCTATGTAAGCCCAAGCTAATGTGTGTTTTTGTGTCTTGGTTTTTAACMAAACAATTAAATATGCAAAAAGGTAAAAATTTTTAAAGCTTATAGAATAAGGATATAAAGAAAGAAAATATTTTTGTGTAACTATTCAGTGTGTTTATGTTTTAAGCTAAGTATCGTTACAAAGAATCAATTAAAAAAAAAAAAAAAGCCAGGTTCAGTGGCATGCACCCTTAATCCCATTACTTGGAAGGGTGAGGTAGGAAGACTGCAAATTTGAGGCCTGGGCACCTTAGCAGGACCCTGTCTCAAAATATAATGGCTGGGAATGAAGCTCTGTGTTGAAGCACTTGCCTAGCATGTGTGAGGCCCTGGGTTCAATCTTCAGTACCAAAAAAGGAAAGGGGTGGATATTTTTCAAAAGTGTAAAAACTTATAAAGTAAAAAAGTTATAGTACATTAAGGTTTGTTTATTATTGAAGAAAAAGGTTTGTTTGGTTTTTTTTWAAATAAACTTAGTGTAGCCTAACTGTAATATTTCTAGTCTCCAGTTATAGTGCCCTTGACCTTCATATCCACTTGCCACTCACTCACTGACCTGGAGCAATGTCTARTCTTGCACACTCCATTCATAGTACCCTATGCAGGTGTACCATTTTACATCTCCTGTGTTTTTAGTGTGCCTTTGCTGTGTTTAGATACATACAGGTACACAAAGACCATTGTGTTCCAGTTGCCTACAAGTACTAAGCTCTGGCATCTAGGTTTATGTAAGTGTGCTCCAAATGGTTATTCGCACAATGATGAAATCACCTGGTGTCATGGTTCTTAGAATGGATTCCTGTCCTTAGGCGATGCATGACTGTATCTCAAGAGCAGAGGGTAAACTGTCCGCTTTTCTGCTGCTTCTAAACATATTGGGAATAGAATCTTGAGAATCTCTTGCAATACAGATTAAAGCAAAAAGCAATCAAGAAACTTTGCCAGTTTCAGATACAAAAATGTCTCTCAAGACCAATGATCCAGTTATTTTACATAAAGCCATTTGATTTTGCAAATGTTATGTTTCAGAAACAGATACTAAGGATATGGTAAACTTAGGACGTTGTTTTGCTGAGAGAAAATGTCTACTTTATAAGTATAACGAGCGTGTTTTGTCTTTGGTCTCCTCCCTAGCATTACAGCACCTCCCTGCTTGCCGCTGCAGCAGCAGCAGTCTCAGATGATCAAGACCTCCTGCACTCGTCGAGATTTTTCCCATATACCTCCTCACAGATGTTCCTCGATCAGTTAAGTGCAGGAGGCAGCACTTCCCTGCCAACCACCAATGGAAGCAGTAGTGGCAGCAACAGCAGCCTTGTGTCTTCCAACAGCCTGAGGGAGAGCCATAGCCACACTGTCACAAACAGGAGCAGCACGGACACAGCGTCCATCTTTGGCATCATACCAGACATTATCTCATTGGACTGATCCCTTGCCCCTGCTGCTCCTACCCATCCTAGATTAAATGAACTTGGCAGAAAGAAGAGAACTTTGTGCTCTGTCTTATCTTATTCTGTTTAGAAAAGTACAGCGTGTTTTTTTTTCCTTTTTTTAGGGAAAAAATTAAAAGAAATGTACAGAGAACAAAACTATATTTTCAGTTTTACTTTTGTATATAAATCTAAGACTGCCTGATAAAACACTTGTTTAAAAAAAAAAAAGGAAAGAAAAGAAAAAAGCACCCACAAGCCACCTTCAGTTCATTTTTTTTCTGGATTCTGAAGATTTTTCATGATCTGTCCTATGGTTTTGGTTTTATTTTACTTCAATGGCATTATTTTATTTGCAGTAAGCAGAAAAGGAATTGCATGTATGAAGTTTTAAATTGTGGGCTTTGTTGTGGGGAGGGGGTTGGGAGGGATAGTTTGATTACCATTTTTTAAAAATGACAGACTTGGGTTCTGTTTTTTTTTGTGTGTGTGTGTGTGCATATTTTATCCAGCCTTAAGTTATAAATCTCATCTGTCCCACTTTCATTCCCTATGTATTTTCAGGTCATAGCTCATGGGCGTGTGTGTTCAGTGTGTGTGTCTGTATGTATTTTTCTGTCATTACTGTTCCCTCTCTTCTGGAGTTTGCATTCAGTTAATATATTAGTTGCCTGCTTCTTTTAAAGTGCTTTAAAGGTCTTGAACTCAAGTGTGAGTATCTTTATCAACTATCCCAGTTGCATGTTCTCCATCATATATTCTGACTTGCTCTAAACCCCCCTGAGAATACGCTGTAGAAATACTGGAGAAAGCTGTCTGGGTAAGGAGTAGGCTTACTAGACCTGTGAATAATACACTTTAGTCTAGTTCTCAATTCTAAATCTGGACTGCCAGTGTTTTGTATTTAAGCCAAGTCTGTGAATACCTGCTTTTTTGGCCACAGGGTAACAAGTTTTCATGTAAGATCTTCATACCAAAGTAGGAAGTGATAATAGCTTAGAAAGTCCTGCTGGGTATTTTGTGCAGCTGACAGAAGGGTTACATCACCTCAAAAAGAAGATAGACGAGTCAATTACCCTAAAAGTAAATTTTGTTTGGAAAATGCAATGCACCACACATGTGGATCTATAGAAATCTACTGTCTTGGTAAACAAGGTTCAAAATGCATTTGAACCTTAGTCATTTTTATTCTCCGTGAGTGTACTTATGTTCTTAACCTATCTACCTAGTTTATTTTGTCTTCATCTTTTAATGACAAGCATGACATAGGAAAGTCATTTTTTTAAAATTCATGAATGGATCTGATCTGCTCTAAATAGTGGAACATGTAAATATATTGAAAACTGTTTTTCAGGAGATAAGTAAARGTTGAAGGAAAGGAAAAGTGGTTTACTTGTGTTCCAAAATCCTCATCAGAGAAGATATTATGTTCTCAGATATGGAAAATGTATTTCAGTTGATTGAGAGTAGAGGTTTAACAGAAAAGATAATGATTGCCAGTTTTCCAGACTGGGTTTTTATATCACAGCTGTTTAGTATTTCTCAGAGTTGATGAAGGACCACTTTTGTGTATAAACTTGTCAATTTCAACCTTGCATTGGTAACACTGACCTACTTCAATCCAGGTAGAATTCAAGATGGCTATGTCTTTTGGCTGTATGATAAAATTAATGGTTCACATGACTGTGTGGCATCTAAAAATAATATGTTTTTACAGCATCTCTCTTACTAAATTGTTGACTTGAATTTTGAAAAAAAGTTGGTGTTGATATGTATATGTGTGTGTGTATATATGTATTTATAAACAAGTGTGTGTGAGTAACAAGTGAGTTACATAGTCTTCCCCTACGCATGTGTATTCCACACATAAATGGCTGAGTTATAGTCACAAAACAATTTGCAATAAAAAAATTTATTGTCAGTTAAAACAAGAAATAGTTAAGTTTTTAAATGAATCTGGAGTAGTGGTGAGTGAACACTTTAAGAACTTTCATTGCCATATTAATTTAGACTAATTTTGAATAGTATCATAATTTGTGTCTAAATTTGGATTAGGGTAGAAATTACTAAAATTGTAGAGCACTGTTTCTGATTTTACATTGTGAATAGAAAACATTTCTATTCAACTACCATAGGTTAAGTGAATAGTTTTCTTTATTCCTGTTTTGGGGTTTTGTTTCTGTTTTCTCTGCTTTTTTGTTGTTGTTAGTGGTCTCAAAATTCCGATCAATAACTTTGTATACGATGCTGAATTATAAACTCTTTGAATGATCCAGTTGAAAATCCGTACCTCTGCTTTCCTTGGCCCAATTTTGGAAGGGGTTAATTTCCCTCCATGCCCTTTATTATACCAATCTAAGGGAAGAATAGGTAATAGGGAGAAATAGATGTCTGTCCAGTGGCTTTGGTCATGTCCCCACAGGAGAACCAACCATTCAGTTGTCTTTATAGTTCATTCCACTCTGAGAAGTTCGTTTCCTTCAGTTGTTAACTTTTTAAGATGTTGCATTAAGTAATAGTTATCACTTGTTGGTTTCATGTTCGTTATGAGTCAATCAGACTTTCATGATTTGTAAAAATTATTGAGTCATGCACTACACCCTTTTCCTAATTTTTTAAAAGAAGTTAAGCCACTTTTCTCTTTTCCTCAGCCCACACTCACTCCCCAACCCATGCCAACATTGCTATGCTGTCTGTGGACAAAGAGTTTCTCGAATCTTGAAGCCAGTTGTTACAACCCCTTTGCCTTGGTCTTTCATGATAGGTGCACATATCCTTCCTTCTGTGCAGTGCTGCATGTGTGTACACATCTGGAGAGAGCTCTATACACACAGAAAATAGCTGTTTGGCAGGGTTGAAGTGGCTTTTAATTGCTATGTGGGCATTGTTGGACACATCTCTTTTTTAAAAAATTCTGATACTTAACCATGCCACACTTGGTTGACTGTTTTGAGCATTAAATTTTTTCTATATTGATTTAGAATATCACAATTCTATGTCATTACTGACTTAAGAAAGATTCATTTATGCTTCTGAAAGATGTGATTTCTTGGGTAGATTTTCCTTTGAAACAAGTGTGTGAAATTGAAAATATATCCCAGCTGTAAATTAATAAATATGGAAAAAGCATTGTTTCTAAAACAATTTCAAGTACATAAAACTTTCAGGATCTTCAGGACTTTTTAAAGCACGTTTGCATTTATTTTAGTAAGAATTTCTTTTTGTAAGTACATGTTGAATTCTGTTTTTTAATTAAACACAAAACTTAGATTTCAGAAAGAGGGAGGGAGACTAGCTGGTGGTCCCAGAGTGTGCTGCTGTTGTTTAATTAACAAAGGGGAAAATGTATATAAACAGATATAAAAGTTACCATAAATTCCATGAACTTAAATCTGTGATTCATTGCCTTAAGACTTTCTCTCTTAGGATTTCCATACCGCATGCCAAACCAGTAAAATGGCTTTTAAAAATGTATAGTAGACCAATGTCAGTTTGTATAAAAGTACCAAGTGAAAATATTTATTACATGCATTGGAAAAAAATTGTTTACCTATTGAATGTTACCTGTTTATGTAGAGCTCTTTAGATGTAATAAAAGAAAAGCCTTCAGTTAATTTGTCTTCTGTAAAATAATATTACTGGGTGGACCAGGGGACAGTCCCAATGAGAAAAGTGACAGTGCTTTGTGATTCCAAAGCCCCTTTCATCCCGAGATTTCAAAGCATGATGAGCACCTAATAGGCTTGCAGCTGCTTTGAGGTAAGTAATTAATACATGGCCACCATTTCCCTTTCTTATTGAAATATGGCAAGCTTTGTAATGAACCACAACATCTCTTTAGTTTTAAATCTGTTTAATACCTGCAGTTTGCTGAGAACACTGTGACTGTTTTTCTAAAAGCACCAGGTGCCAGGTAAGCCAATCAGAATTTCAAGAATGAGCATGAAACCAGGACTGAGGGAGCTAAAAGCCTCTCCTGGGGCTGAGGTAATTTCATAGGAACTTGACTGCCAGCCACCCCGACCCTTGAAAAGGACCATGAGGTAGGGGTTCTGATGACCACCCTGCCCACTGCGTGCTTTTAGCAAGCTATACTTCATGTTCCTGTTAGGCAAAGGAGATTCCTAGAACTTGCTTTAAAATCATATTCTGGCCAGTGATAAATAGAACAGAGCTTTGTTATTATAGTTCAGAATTTCCTTTTCCTGTTCCATCAGTATTTATCACCTGTCTAGATTTGGTATTCCAGATTGGTTTTGCTTCCTAATGTTGGTGACTAGAGTTTAAAAGAAGCGTTTGTTTGGGACCCTTGCCTGACAGTGAAATACAGCAGATCTCTCTTGGAGGCCAAGTTCCAGTGTGCCTTCAAGTGGATTTACTGTTTAGATAATGAAGTTTTAGTGTTCAGTACCCTGACTTGCTCTTAACTCCTCCAGGGTCCTGAGTGCTGCCCCAGAAATTGTGTATTGTATTCTTTCTCCCTCCCTCCCTCTATTTTTTTTCTCTGGCCCCCTCTCCCTCTCTCCAGCCCTCTTTATTTTGAGATAGGGTCTTGCTAAATTGATGAAGTTCTTGCTGAGGCTGGCCTCAAACTTTTGGTCCTCCTGTCTCAGCCTCCCAAGTTGCTGGGATTATAGGAGTGTGCCACTGCACCAGGCTATTTCTGTTTTATTTATTAAAGACAACCACCAAGTCATATAAACCTCAAATCCCTTAAAACACATTTACAGCTAGGGCATTTCTGCTCAACTCCCCTTGGCAATTATACTATTGGGGAAATGATAGCCTCCTTTCTCAGGACCTCAGTTTGGTCTGATGCCATGCAACATGGATGAGATGGTTGCACTTAACCTGTGCAACCTTTAGTGAAAGATCGGTGTCATATATAACCTTCCAAAAGACATTCCCCCTTCTTAATCTGGTTCTCTGATGTTTCAGCCACAGCCTAATTTTAATAAATAGATTAAAGTACTCCTGCCCTTTTTAGGACTGTGCCAACAGTATCCCTAGGCCCTCAATTTGACAAGTGCATGGATATCTCTGAGTCCCAGGCAGCCCCGCCTGCCACTCATGACTGTGTAACTCAAAGTTACTTGAGCTGGAAGTGCTCCCAGAAGGACTGTTGCCTCACAACTGTTTCCAGCCATCTTGTACCATGGCCATGACCCAGAAGACGCCTCTTAGTGACATCCTCCATGTTAGTCCCAGCTTAAGGTTATGATCAGTTTAGGTCACTTGAGCGCATCATCCTACTTTCTGGAACTTCTGGGCCTGCAAACAGCCCAGTGCACAGCTCAACATTCTGAGAGTGTTGCTACCCTGTTCTCTGTTGATAAATGAGTGTCCTGAACCGTGTCACTCTGTCGAAAAGGAGAGGAGAATTTGGGTCTGTGGTGCTTCAAGAAGAGTGTGTGTGTGTGTGTGTGTGTGTGTGTTTTCACTCTGCTTGTTGCCATTTCTCAGCTAGCACTGGCTCTATCTTGAAAATGTGGAAAGTGGTTGTAGCACCTAAATAAACACTTATTTACAGCTAGGGCATTCTGGGTAGCCTGCCTTCTTCAAGAGAAACGCCGTAATGGGAACTCGGATTCTACATGCCCTTCAGGCTGCTGTGCATTTTCAAGGCCCTATCTATCTCCATCCTTCCTCAATGGGCTCCGTGAGGTAAAATTAGAGATCCAGGCYTTGTCTGAACCCTAAGGCCCTCAGGGATGAAATCATAGAGCTGGTAAGTGGCAGACCCAGGACTGGAATGTAGGCCCGACTAAACCAACAGGAAGGGCTGGACTCATGAGAACTTCTGAAATCAATGCAAATCTTCGTGGGAAAGGAGGCACTRAAGATTGAACTCAGGGCCACTGGACCACTGAGCCCCATCCCAGCCCTATTTCACATTTTATTTAGACACAGGGTCTCACTGAGTTGCTTAGCACCTTGCTTTTGCTGACGCTGGCTTTGAACTTTYGATCCTCCTGCCTCAGCCTCCTGAGCCACTGGGATTACAGGCATGTGCCACCGCACCTGGTAATACAAATCTTTTTATTAAAGAAATGCTGATACCATGGCTGGAAATACTTATTGCTACTTATGCCTAGCTAATGTTGTCTTTGCACCGTGTTTGCCATCACCCTAGAATGAAAGGAACATTTTCCTTTTAAAAAATCAACCAGTCCMGGTTTTCAGATCCAGGGATCATCTCTTGTACTCTGCTCATTCAGTAGTCCTGCACAGGAAGGGTGATCTTCTGGATAAACTCGTCATACTTCACTTTGCCATTTGGTTCAATATTTGCTTCCTTGAAAAGATCCTCCACTGCAATAAATCACATGAAATTTTTGTTTGGATTTGGGGTTATAAGACACTTCTTTTGAGGTTAGGGCTTCCCAAAGGTCTTCCTGAGCGTCCAGGGAACTTCTTGTACACCAGGGAGTAAACCAGAACAGACGACAACCTGCCCACTCCCATCTGGAAACCACTGGTTTGGTTGGGCTGGGCAGGAATCCTGGCGAAAATCCAGTCACTGAARCCACCTCGTGTTTTTATTCTTTTGTTAGTTGTTGATGGACCTTTGTTTTTATTCACTTATTTATATATGGTGCTAAGAATCGAACCCAGTGCCTCACACATGCCAGGCAAGTGCTCTGCTCCTGAGCCCCAGCCCCCACCTCTTGTTTTCTGTGAAGATGATCTCAGACCTCTGAGCCTTGGTTTAGAGAGAGAGTTGGCCCAGGCATTTTGTCTGCTATCACCCACCCCTCTGCCCGCCACCATAGGTATTTTCTGCAGCTCCCTTCTGGACAGAGCCACCCAGGCTTCAGCTGCCCCTCACCTCCCCACTCCTCCATGTCAATGTTCCTCCCCAAGATACCTCCATGCCAGGAGGGCCTAGTGATAAGCTAAGCGCTTCTGCTACCACCACCTCTAAAGAAAAGCGTAGGGCAGGGGTGCAGCTCATGGGTAGAGCACGTGCCTTACACCAATAAAGAAAAGATATGTATTTTGGGCCTGGGAAAATAAATCTAACAGTGTGTAAGGCTCAAAGCTTGCAAAACTGCTGTTAATTCTGCCTTGCTTAAAAAATAAAATAAAAAACTTCATTTGCATTTCCCCCCTCTGGTTTTAGACTTCTGAGATAAAATAGTAGCTTGTCCCAGGCACTGGCAAGAAGAGCCATTCAGTTTATCCTTTTCCACTGTGGCCTCTCTTCAATAAAACTGAATATTTTTTTTCAATCACCAAGGATAAGGGATTCCTACTTCTTTGGGGCTGGGTTGTGGCTCAGCGGTAGAGTGCTCGCCTAAGAACGAGYGAGGCGCTGGGTTTAATCCTCAGCACCACATAAAAATAAATAAATAAAATAAAGGTATTGTGTCCAACTACAACTAAAAAAAAAAAAAAGGGATTCCTACTTCTGTTATCATCCTTTCTCCCACAGCAAGTGGGAAGGAAATTGGTCTCCACCACTTTCTTTGAAATGTTCTTTGCAGGTTAAACAAATAAGAGATGTGTGTTTGAGGGCCACGGTGTTACTTTGGCCAGAGATCATTAACCACAGAATCAGGACCCCCTGCTCTCTCTGCTGACACTCCACCTGGCACATGGAGGGCCAGCAGTGTCTCAGAGCCTGGGAGGTTGAGGACAGCCCACGATTCCCCCTGTTCACTTGAAAACAGCCACAGTGAAAGATGAGACTGTGATAGCTGCCAGCCTCRGAACGTGGGGGAAGAGGAATCTGCCTGCCCGAAGCGCTATTTTTAAATGCTTAGCTCTGTGCCTTTGTGAAGGCAGATAAAATCTGAGCAGAAGGTTTATAGAATGTGAGCCTCTTGGAGGGCCTTGAGGGATGGTTACTACCTCATTTCCAGGGAGTAAGGAACCTGTGGGAGGTACCCCCCCCAGAGGAGGGGGAACCAGAGGGGGAACCGAACCCCCTGCAGTGTTTGTTGGGATTTGGCCAAAGGCTGATGGTCAGTTGTTACTGAAGCCCTTTTCCTACACCCACTGTGGCCAAGCCTAGCCTTCCTATCCAGACCGTCGCTGACAATTGAGCTACCTAAGTAGAAACCCTGGCCTCCCAGGGATGCCAGCTGAGGCAGGACCCAGGGACTACCAACTAGTGCTGAGAGGCAGGAAGAATACCCACAGATGGATCAGTACGGGTTTTTCATTACGATGTACAAAGGGCTTTCCCAGAAGGCCCAAGGCCCAGGCCCCTGGTCCTGCTCCAAGGCAGGAAGGCACACGGATGGGCTGCTGGGAGGTGTGAGGCAAGGTYTATTCTCCACTTGACCCTGCAAAGGCCCCTCAGAGCCCCCTTCTTGAACTCTAAATCTTCCAGAGTCAGCAGCAAAGTAGCATTTCCATTTGGAAAGCACGCTGCAGCCCTGTTCAGCTGGCTGTGATATGGGGACAGCACTTGACCTCCATCCAGCTCCCAGCTCAGCTGACCCGCAACCACTCACTTGTCAGCTTTTTTTTTTAATATTTATTTTTTGTTGTTTTTGAAGTAAGTGGACACAATATSTTTGTTTTATTTATTATTTTTATGTGGTGCTGAGGATCAAACCCAGGGCCTCCCACGTGCTAGGCGAGCCCTCTACCGCTGAGCCACAATCCCAGCCTCTGTCAGCTCCTTTTTTTGGGGGTGGAGTGGTGTACTGGGGACTGAACTCAGGGGCATTTGACCACTGAGCCACTGAGTCTCACTGAGTTGCTTGGCAACTTGCTTTTGCTCAGGCTGGCTTTGAGCTCTGCTGGAATTTGAGGCATGTGTGGTCAGGCCCAGCCTCATCAGTTCCTTGATCAGGTAAAGGGACACTCATGTTCCCCAGGTGTCCTGTGCACTAAATGAAGATCCAGTGAGCTTAGGCACAGCATGATGCGGGGCAGATGTCCCACTACCCGGCTGCCCAAGTGGATCCAAGCTGGGCTTTCCCCAGGCTGACCCTCCACCCTGACCACTGGGCCCAGACCAGTCCCCGGCTAGTGTGACTGCTCCTGGGCTTTGCAGCTATATATCAACTACAGAAGCCTACACAACCATGGTGGCATTGATGGTACTTTGGTGAACTCCCCCAACTCCCTAACTCTCTGCAGACATTGGGAGACTGGTCAGGCAATTAATTACCTTCCTTCTGGGTGAGCTTCTCCCCGAGTCTCGTGAGTTTCGCCCGCAGCTCGGATGCCATGATGTACCCTTTTTTCTCCTTGTCTGCCATCAACATGGCCAGAAGAATTTCTTTCTTTGGATCCTCTTGTTTTATTTGCGTGTGCATAATAGTCAGGAAAGTGGAGAAATCCAGCTCTCCATTTCTGTCTAAGAAACCCCCAAATAGCAGAGTGAGCAGGGAGGGAAAGGCTCTTGGGGAAGCCAACCTACCTCCTTGCACCCTCGTCACCGCCAGCTCCACCTGGTTCATCATGGTGACAGTGGTCGTGGTGAAGAAGACACAGCCCCCGCTACTGAGTTCCCACCATGGACCAGCTCCTGGACTGGATATTCTTCATTTCATCCACCCAGTGACCCTTGGTGACCACGGTTATCATCCCCTCGTTTTGCCTCCTCAGGGGACAGAAGCTTGTAGTGTGTAGTCACAGTCATCACCAACTGCTCAGCTTCCCTCTGGTGCTTCCCTCCTCCCCTGAACTGGAAGGAACTGGGTCCATGTGTCCCCCCACACACACACTTCTGCCACCAGAGCAGATCTCTGAGGAGGGATAAGTGCCCCGCCCCCAGCTCAAACCTCAGGTCCTTCCCCACCTGCTCCTGTGCCTTTCCCTCCCTGCAGCCCCCTCCAGGCATGTCCAGAAGCCTCTGCCCACACACTGGCCTGGCCACAACAGCAGGAAGTCAGAACTTCCCCTGACCACAACTTCCTGTTTAGAGGAGACAAAAACCACCACTCCTTCAGAGCTGAAAATGAGACCACTGAGTGCCCTATCACCAGGCTCTGGCCCTCCAAGACCTGCCCCAGGATGGCTCCTAGGGCTTGTTGCTGCAGGTGTGCTAATGTGACCTCTAGTGCCCCAACAGATGCTGAGAACCAGAGACAGAGGTGACCTGGGGGCTCCCAGTTAAATGCTGGAAGCTGGCCACTTCTTCCTCTAGGCCAGTCCCTCCTTCCTGGGCATCCAGCTCCCAATGTAAATAGACACCCCAGACTTTAAAAATAAAATTAAAAACAAATCTCCCAAAGAAATCACAAAGGGGCTGGGGTTGTAGCTCAGTGGTAGAGCGCTTGCCTAGCACATGTGAGTCCCTGGGTTAGATTCTCAGCACTGCATAGAAATAAATAAAATAAAGGTTCATTGATAACTAAAACTTAAAAAAAAAAAAAAAAGAAACCACAAAACTTGTTTCTGATAAGAGACCTATCTGTTCCCATTGTTGAAAATACAGGGAACAATAAAGGGAATGAAAACCAGCCTTAATCCTATCACCAGAGAGAACCACCTTCCAAGAGGGTTTTCTTCCAGTTTCCTAGCAGTCATGTATGGTTTTCAGGAAAGTCTTTGGAATCAGAAGAACTGAGTTCCAATCCTGATTCTACCATTGGCTTAAGTACTTGGGCAAGTTACCTATGGCTGTGAGTCTTGATCTTTGCCTGCAGAGTAGGATCAGGACAGCCACCCTCTTGGGGTGATTTGAGCTAAGCATTTGTTAGATGTTCACCAAAGGGACATTTTTTCTATAAAAACAACATTGGGATCACTGGCAGCACTGTCGCTCTCTAGGTCTGTGATAAACCTGGTGGAATGGCCAGACCCAGGGCCCCTGCAAGATGGGGTGTCACCATTGCCTTGAGGATGAGGCAGAGTGCACTTGGCCAGCTGCCTCCTGGGAGGTTCACTGCCCCCTGCCTCTCTAACCTGTGAGCCCTACACACCCCACCCTCTGTGCCACCCGCTCGCCCCTCCCGGAGCCCGCTCAGCCCACTCACCTATCCCGTGGGTCTGCAGGTGCCGCTGCACCTCCCCAGGCGTCGGGCTGGCTCCCAGGCACCTCATGGCCACCAGGAGATCAGTGGCTTTTATCTTGCCCCTCTGCTGCTTGTCGTACAGGGAGAAGCATTCCTTGTATTCTGCACAGCAGGAGGGAGGACCAGCTGTGTTCACTCACTCTCCACCCACCCCTTCTCTGCCCTCTTCCCTGGGACCCAGGCCCCCTTTTATTGCAGTACTGGGGATGGAACCCAGGTCCTAGCTGCACCCCAGCCCTCCTTCACACTTCTTTTCCCCTTCCTTTGGCCCCCTCCCCACACTTATCCCCAACCAATGTTTCCAGATACAGCAAAGGAAAACACAAAACTTCCAAGTTCAATTTGAATTCAGAGAAATGGTGAATTTTTAGTGTAAGCATGTCCCGAGTTTTGCATGGGATATACTCACACTAAGAAAATATTTGTGTTTATTTGAAGTTCAAATTTAACAGGGTGTCCAGCATTTTATGTGGCAACCCTGCCTCACTCCTCCTTTTCCTTCTTCAGTCCCTTTCTCTCCCTTCCCACAGCTAACTGAAATACCCCCCCCCCCCGCCCACCCCTGGGCTTCCCAGGGAGGGCTAGTGCCCACAGTCAGGCAGCCAGACTCAGAGGAAATCCCTCCAGGGAGCCTGGCGACAAGTGGCTCTCATGTTTAACGATTTACTATCATTATTATTACTACTACTATTACTACCACTGCAGCTGAGGGCATTTCTGAGCGCCTGGCCCAGTCCTGGGCCTCCAAGCTGCTGGCCCCTGAAGCTGTTTGCCCTCTGACACAGCCTGGGCCTGGTTTCAAAGCCTTCAAGGGGAACTGCCGGGAGGCGCCCCAGGCTCTGAACCTAGGTGGCTGGTGACTCTGCCCCGAGGCCCTTTCTTTCTTGATGCTTAGCAAGATGAAGTGGCTGCCAGAGCTCAGGCTGCGCTAGTTACAGTATTCCACAATCCAACAAGACTATCCTGCGGTTCCCAAGCCCTGGAAGCTGAAGAAAGCCAGTCAGGAGCTTGGGAAAGGTCCCAGGCTGGAGACTGGGATCCTGACTCTGGTGAGGGTGGGCTGCCCTCTRGAGGTGCTCTGGTACCCTGGCCCTGGCCTTCCAGCCTGGGCTCCACAATCTGTTCCTCTACTGCCTTCACACCTGGGTGGATCCTCAGAGGCCTGGACTAGGGACTTGCTAACTAGTAACAGAAATAACAAGGGCAGTTCCCATTGCTGAGCCCGTCACCCCAGCCCTGGTTTACTCCTCACCCTCTGAGGGGACTGCCTATTCCTGCTGGGCAGGTGTGAAGCCATCCTAGAGCGGCCTCAAACCTCACCTAAGCAGCGTGACCCCTGAAGTGGAGCTCTGTCCACCAGGCAACACTGCCTCCGTCCCAGGACAGCAGGGTGGGGTGGAGACTAGGCAGAGTACATCCCCCAACCCCGTAGCCCAGGCCTAGGGTGGCTTTGTGTTCCTTAGTAAAGTCCTCTTCCTGGTGTGGTTCCTGGTGTCCTCAGGGCCACCCTACCTTTTTTTTTTGGGGGGGGGGTTACTGAGGATTGAACCCAGGGGTGTGCTACTAGTCAGCCACCCACACTCCCTTTTATTTTTTATTTTGAGACAGGGTCTAGCTAAGTTGCTGAGGCTTGAATTTGTTATCCTCCTGCCTCAGCCCCGCAAGTCGCTGGAATTACAAGCATGCACCACCGTACCCTGCATTCCTTTTCTGTCTGGGTTTCTCATGTGCCCTGGCTCTCCTGGCTGTTGTCCCTATCTGGTCAGAGCTGGAAGGCAGGGACAATTGTCTGGCTCTTCAGATGGGCACACTGAGTCCCCTATGTGATCAGCAAGCAGGGCTCAAATGGAGACCCACCTCCTAACAAACAGATAGCTCAAGTGCGTTCTGTCTTCCTACTGCAACAAATATACCTTTTAAAAACTGCAAGACCAGATCTGAACTTGGAGTTCCTACACGGGAACAAGAGAACAGGGCCACCTGGAGAGCAGCCCTGGCCAGGCTGGCCCCGGCACTCCCTCAGCACCTCTCCCCTCTCCCTGGAGTTCCCCCTCACTGTCCAGCCATCCCCAGGCTCCATCCTTCACTCTCCTTCTGTCCTCCCCTGGGACCCCTGAGAGGGGAGAGGTCTTCTATGGTTCATTGCTCTATCTCTAATGCAGGGAGCTGGGCTGGCACCAGGAAAGGACTCAAAAATTTGTTGAATGAAAGAATGAACAGGGTGAGATGAATTGGATTAAAAGTCCCCTTTAGGTTTTCTCTTGGAAAATGCAAAAGTCCCAGAAAAGACCTAGGAGAACCCCAGTGACGTGCTGGAGAACGTTTAGCAAGCAACAGCCCTGACATGTATGTACGTGTTTCCTACGCACTCGACAGAGGATGGGAAACACATGACTTACACACAGCAAAAAAGTCAACTCTAAAAAAGTCAGCCTAGTTGATTGATTATCACAAGTGAGTTTCACCAATACTCAGGTTCACTGCTAACCTACAGTTTGGGTTCAACCATGATTTGACAAGGGAGGTTACCTGCCAGCTTCACTTGTCAAATCATGACAAAAGAAGGCAATTCTTTTTCCAATGAATTGAAATTGTGTTGTCATTCAATCTGATAAGCGATCTACTGTTAAACTAATTCTCGCCCTAGTACAAATTACATTCATTAAGCTGAAACTTCTTTCAAATCTGGGGGCAGCAGGGCTGTCTTCTTCGCTCTCTGTAGGGCTTGGCACATTGTTTGAGCCTATGTTATTTAACAGTCTCTGGCTCTGACAACTGGCTTGTGAAATTCCTAAATATGTAGCTCTCATATGCTGGCAAGCTTCTAACTTTGTCCCTAGCACACAGAGGCCAGATGAGGCGGCATCTCTCTTCCTACCTACCTCACAGGTGAGAAAACTGAAGCTCAGGTGGTTGGATTCTAGGTCTGCTGCCTCCAAAGCTCCTGTTCTTCCTACTATCCCTGTTTAGTCTTTCATTCATTAAACATTAGTGGTCGCTTTCTTGGTGCCAGAGACTCGGATACCAAGAGAAATTACCTTCTTTCCCTTGGGGAGTTCCAGAGGCCCCAGGAGGGGGAGCCAGCAAGCCTCATGTCCAGGCGTGGGTGGAGGACACAGGCTGAGAGCTGGACTCCAGCCCCGACCTGCCATTCAGTGTCACCTATAGAGCTGGGGAGGAGGGGCCCTGCCCTGGGCCTGGCACTTTAAAAGCCCCCTGGCGTGCTCTTTCTGGTCTTGGCCTAGTTTAGGGGTAAGGAGTCAAGACAGGGGTCTGTGGTTAGGTACCCACCTGGAGCCCACAACCCCACCCGTCCCTTCTAGACCAAGCTCCGGGTACCCAGAACTCTAGAATCCCAGTTAACATGGAGCTATGTCCAGTGTCTGCAGAACCAAGGGCATCATGGGCCCAGGGTGCCTGCCGTTTTATCTCTAGTGGTCAGGAAGGTCTAGCTGACAATGGGACAGTTCGGCAGAGAGTTGGGGGAGGGGATGCTCAGGGGCCGACTACCAGTCCCAGGGCTGTCACTGTTGGGGCAGATTCCGGGGCACGGCCTCAGGAGCAGCTGCTACATTCGCCGTGGGGAGACCTCTTCTGCCCAGTGCTCCGGACCAGCCCCCGCAGCCCGAGTCTGGCCCCAGTTCTGTGTAACTCAACCCTCTCCTCTTGGCCTTGTGGAAACAGCCCAGCCACACGAAACTGAAGGACCCAGAGAGGAGAGTGTTCATGCTCAGACTAGGCAGAAGGGCCCTGGCTGACCCTGTTTTACAATGGGGAAACTGAGGCCCAGGAGACCATCCTGCCCAAGGCGCAGACCTGGGCTCTCTCTCTCTCTCTGCCAATCACAAAGCCCCTTTCTTTTCCTGCCTTTCAGTCTGTTAATGGTCTCTCTCTTCCTCCCTGACCCTTTCCTGCCCAAATCTGACCATCTGGCTCTGGTGGGAACTCCAGGACCTGGCTTGTAAACCACCCAGACAAACATAAAGCCAGCAGTCCCACCACCACCACCTGAGGTCCCCCCTACCGCCACCAAGGGTATCCCTGCAGCGGCTGGACCCCTGCCGTGGGTGTGGCTGGGGCCCTCCTTCCCTGGAGCAGAAAAGGAGTAGAGAAAATAAAGAGGTCCCGATTGTGCTGGGAGCTGCTAATTAAAGGACAAACCAACCTACCATTAATTTGGTCCTGGGAAAGGAACTTGGCCTGCAGCAGAGAGAGGGAGACGGTCAGGGCAGGGTTCTGTGAGAGGCCCTCCCCACCCGGCTGGCCACGGGTYCCCACTTTACCATCGTGGGGCTCCCGCTCTTCTCAGAACCAGCTTCTCAGTTCCTTTTCCTCTGGCTTTGAGTTGAAAGTCCGCCAAGCTGGGTGGAGGCCACAGTAATAAATCCTCTGCTGCCATGGAGACCGGGCCCTACGCCACCAGGGTCAGATTCCAGCTTCCCGTGCATGGCGGACGTCCGGCCAACCCGGGCAGGTTGATTTTGAGGAAACGGCCGCAGAAGGGCTCTTGTGAGACTCAGGGCCCCCGATTCTGGAGGTTGATGCTCTGTAGCAAGTGAACCATTCCCAGACTCTGAGAGGGGACATTAGAGAACAGAAAGGTGGCCCTGGGGTAGGGCTGAGTCTGGGCCTGCCTCAGGGAACTTGTCTCCCTCTGACAAGCTCCCTCTTGGAATTGGGCACTGCACACACTCTCCCTGAAGACTTGTCACCCACAACCCTGCAGAGGAATGGAGCCTGTCCCGGATGGGCCAGCTCAGAGTCTGGGTCTCAGCCTTGGGGGATGGATTGCAGGAACACAGGCCTCAGTACATTGGGGCTGGGATCCAATCTTCCCACCTGCTGTTCCCAGTCACTGCCTCTCTGTGCCTCCGTTCCCCCCTTGCCAGGCCACATTACGGGCGGCTGGGAGAATCAACTAGCCAGTGCCCGGCTGACTCCCATCCTTTGCCAGCTCTCCCACCTTTCAGGCCCCTGGGAGTGTCTGTGGGTGGCCAGGCTGCTGTCCAGCCCTGCGTCTACCTACTCAGTGCGTCCTCTCAGGTGACCCTCCCCTGGCTGGGAAGGCTCCTCCACTCTTCCTTCCCCTTCTCTTCCTAGCCACCTGCCACACAGCCTGCTGACTCCCAAGGGCTCCCATCACTCACAAAGGACAGGGGCAAGTGGGCGCCCTAGAGCCACTGGGTGCTGGGCAGAACTGGGTTCTCAGCCTTGTCTTGTCCCCTTTCCCTGGGTTGGCTGTGGGTTCTAAATCCAAGCTTTGCCCATGCTGTCAGGGCCAGCAGGTTGTACCCTACACAAGGGGACCAGTGGGGTGTGGTGAGGGGCTGCTGGTGCCAAAGAAGAGGGGACCTCTTGATAATTTGTATAAGAGCCTGGCTTTGGTTCATTCTTCTCCCTCCTTCCTGTTCTGACCACCTCCATGTGAAAAGTTCTCCTTTCTCCCAAATTGCCTCCTGAGTCACCTCTTCAAACCTCTGTGGGACCTAGAGAATTTGGCTAGAAGGTTCTGGTTCCTCCCTGTAGCCTAGGATGGGCCCACTGTGGGTGGAGTACAGAAGGTGAGAGGCCTGCTCAGAGGAGCTTCAGGAGGAGGACAAGGGGGGAACTCAGCAGGGCTTGGAAAGGCAGGCTAGACCTGGGCTGTGGGCCTGGGACAGCCAGGCTGAAATGCTCTCCCCAGATCAGCAGCATTTGGGAGGGGCTGGGAGCAGGGAGCCATTCCCTGGGGTTTAGGTTGGCGTGTTCTGGTGAGCTGTGTGCCCCAGGGCCTGCCATTCTTACCAACTCCCCTTACCCTTGTAGGTCTCCAAGGGGTCTCACAGATGATGAAGAACCTGCTTTGGGGCCGTGGTCTCAAGAGGGTTCACCACACACAAACTCAAGCTGCCCAGAGCACCGGGTGCAAGACGCAGCAAGTCCAATCAGCAGCACACACCTCTGGTACCACCTGAGGCCTGAGTTTGTTCACTTTATTGTTGAACCTTGGCCCCTCTTGGGAGCCTGGCACCTCCCTTGCATACCATGGCTTCCTCTGGGTCCCTTCTCCCTGCCTTTCATTCTCTGGACCCTCACAGGAAGGGTTCCAGGCCAGGGGAAGCTCCTCCTCCTTACACCCCCTGGCCCAGGATACTTTGTCCAAGAGGTTCCCAAGCAGGACCCCTGGGTCCTAACGTCTAACACAGTTGTCGTTGGAAAAAGCTCTAGGCTCCCGCCCACAGCCCCCACTCCTATCCTTCCCAGGAATGCAGGAGTCTCCTCCTCTCCATCTTGCACTGTTCCTGAGCCAAGCTCTCCCCATGAGGGCTTCCCACTCCACACCCAGGGGCCAACAGAATAGCTAGCCCCAGGGACCCGGGGAACACAAGTGTTGGCAGGCTTTGTGCACTCCTGCTGGGAAAAGGACCCAGAGATGGCCTTCAGAGACCCACTGGCTTTTGCTTCCCCCTGTCCTGTGTGCCCCAGAGTGGAAGGCTCATGGAGTCTAAACTTCAGGTCTCTACTTGATTGATGTCCCAGAATTCATATCCACCTGGAACCGGTGACAGAACTTATTTGGAAATCTTTGCAAATAGAATTTAGATGAGGTCATCCTGGAGTAAGGTGGATCATAACCCAAGGGAGGGATCTGAGAGACATGCAGGGAAGGGCTACAGAACCACAGAAGCAGAGCTGGGTGGTTTCACAAGCCAAGGAACACAAGGATTGTCTGTGTCCCACCAGAAGCCAGAAGAGGTGGAGAAGGATCCTCCTGCTGAACACAGCCTTGCCAACACCTGGATTCTGGACCTCTAGCCTCCAGAACTGAGGATAAACTGTTTTGAGGCTATTAAGCTTGTGGGCTGGGCTGTACGTGGCTCAGTTGGTAGAGTGCTTGCCTTGCATGCACAAGGTCCTGGTTTCAATTCCCAGCACCACCACCACACAAAAAAATTCACAAAGGCCACATGTTCGCACCTGGGCCCGCTGGCCCCTCCACCCTGTGGTTGGATCACTTAGATGCCACAAGACAGACTCAGAAAGTCTCCATGGGGTAGGCTGCCTTGCTCCTCCCCAGTTCTCTGATGAAGTGGAGGCTGCAGGTCTGGGGACCACACTTTGAGTAGCCAGGACCTGGATTGGCAGTTCCCCAACGGGAGCCCACATAAGAACCACCTGCAGCCTTGTCTCCCGGTTCTTATTCAGCAGTGTGGGCAAAGCTGTGCATTCTCCTGTAAGTCCTAATGTACTCTGAGAATCACTGGCCTGTGGCTTTTCTAGGCAATGAATCAAGACATCTTTCCAGGAAAACATCCCCAGCAAAGTGCCCAAGAGATCTCAAGAGGGACAGAAATCTTCAAGGCTCCAGTGATTTATTGCTTTCCCTTTCTGAACATCCACTTTCATGCTTTTCTTTTTCCTTAGCAGTGGCTCCCCAATTTGAATAAGATTACACGGACCCCACCAAGAGGCCTGCCTCTGCTTACGAGAGGTCCATGAAGTCCAGCATCCTCGAGGTGGGGAAGGAAGCAAAGGAGTGTGCTGGACAGGTGGGGACACAGGACACATGGATGGAGTCGTCTCCTGCCTGGTGGGCCTTTGCAGTGCTGTCTGACATCAGCCCACGGTGGCTGTGTGGGAGGTTGAGACCTTTGAATATTAAGGGCTGAGGCCTGTAGAGGTCAAATGACTTACCCATGGCTAAGGGACACCTCCAGCAAGCCAGCCTCCCTTCATCTCCCAAAAGGCAGCACAGCTGGGAGGCCCAGTGGGCCATCCCAGAGGGGCAGGTTAGGAAATGCCCCATCCAATTCCTCCTAAAAGAGCTGGACTGGTCAGGATGAAGAGGCTCTTCTTGCCCCTCACCCACAGGAGCCTACCAAGTGGTGTACAGAAACAGTGGGCAGTGACCAAACCAGGCTGAATAGCCCAGGACTGCTGCTAGAAGGAACCGTGGGCTCTAGCCTGGGCCCCAGGCCAGCCAACCTCTCCCCCACTCTAGAACCCCCTCTCCCCCACTTCACACCTCAGAAATAGCCGCCAGCCAGGCTGGGTACCACACCAGCCTCTATTCATCCTCTTCTCACCCAGGGCTGCCAGCAGGCAGGGATTGGCCCAGGGTCTGGGCCCCAATGTGAGAAGGGAATCTCAGGCCTGGGGTGAGGCAGGGCAGACCCCTGAGACTACAGTCCACATGGGCCAGTGGAGATGGGGAATGGGGCTGCGGTGCTCTGTGCTGCGAGGGTACCTGGACCTGGGGGAAGGGGGCTGAGGCAGGGCTCACCATGCTGGGAAGGAGGCCTCCTTTTTCTGGGAGCAGGGCCACTGGCAGAAGGCCAGTGACTCAGGCTGAGACAGGGCTGAGTGTGGAAAGCCATGAGGAACCCTGACCCTACAATGTGACTCAGGAAACAGAGCCAGGGTTTCAGATCTCCTTCCACGGCAGCTCAAAAACCCATAGCCAGCTGTACTCCACGGTGCCGTGACAGTCCTGGGGTGGGGGCTGGACCTGCAGGTGGGCCTGCATTGCCAGGCCCAAAGCTCAGGCTGGGCCTCTGGCTCCCTGGGGTGAGGGTGGCTCTGAGGTCAGATAAGGATTTGGGGTACACATACCCCTCCCCGGCTGGAAGAGGGTGGTGACAGGATAGAAGCACCCACCCATGACAAGGCTACTATAAAGAGGTCAGCAAATCCAGAGCACTGAGCCACTTTGGGACCATGGGCCTGTTAGCACAAATGAGGCCCTGCGGGGAGAGGTGCTTTGCTCAACAATATAGAGAAAGTTGGCATGACCTACGTCCAGGGTCAGCACAGGCCTGAGGATGAGCAGGTGGCAAGCGGTGCGTCCTTGCTGCATTACCCTCCACGGCCCATGACTCCCAGTGACATAGCCATGGCTTTTGCCCGGGATTCAGTGCTGACTGCTGACATGGAGGGTGTAGAAGGCCCAGGGCTCAGGGACATAGATGACGCCTGGGTACTTCTTCCTGAGTACAGGGTCATTCCACAGCCAAGCGACCCAGAGCGCCACCAGTGAGAGGGTGAGGGTGAATGAGTAGAAGAGGAAGAGGCCGTTGCTGTCCAGGAAGAGGCACCTGCGCTTCTGGTGCAGGACGAGGGCCAGCATGGCAAAGAAGGTGAAGATGAAGAGGATGAAGATCTGGCCTTCAGTGACCAGGTACCTGGAGAGACGGACCAGGGGTTGAGTTAAGACAGTTGCTGCGGCAACCCCACCCTGCCCGGCCTCCCTCCCTGGACCTGGGTGCCAGGCTGCCCTCCCAGGAAGTCGGAACAGCTCATGAGGTGAGAGGCTGCAGCCCACCGCGGTGTGCTGGTTTGGCCTGTACTCACCACCTATAAAAGTTTTGAGTTCATTGCTTATGTTTAAATGAGAGAATATCTACAAATGGCTTCTCTGGTCACATCAGAATATTTCCACGTGACAATAACTGACTAGAGCAGAAATCAGCTGTCCCTTTTAGAGAGCACTGTCCGCTCTGTCACAGTCCCTGCCAGTCTCTACAGCCCCACCTGCGGCCTGTTGGCTGCCTGTCCATCACCTGTGTAGTTTCTTGGGAATTTGGGTTTGGGAATGCAGTTGCAATTGGTGGCAGCTGTCATTACTGTCTCCCTGAAGGCTGGGGCATGGTCTCAGATCTCCCAGAGATGCTGCGGCACCCCATGGCAGTATGGAGCCCATGGCCAGCTCAGTGGCACTTATTGAGGGCTTCTGCAAGGTTACCCGCTTATTCTCTCACTGCTGACTTCGGGGAATTTAAGTGACACCTTGGCACCTCTGTTTTCAAGTGCAAGGCATCTCTTACAAGAAGAGCATACTGTTCAACAAACGGCTGCTGCTCCCGCCACAGCCACCGCTGCACCAGCTCACCAGAGGTAAGGAGCAGGCAGGGGTCTAGCCTCCTTCCCTCTTGCTGTAAATGCCACTGTTTCTTTCAATCCTGGCCTCAGGGAGCATACAGATCAGCCCTGGTGGGGCCTGAGTAGGCCCTGGAGGTGGCTGGAACTGGCTCAGAGAGGTAGGGACCTTATTCATGTTTAGATGGGCTTCCAATCAGAGGGGGCCCCTGGGTCCTTTGCAATACCACGGCCCAGGCAGCAAGAGGTACTGGTCTCCAGGGCAAGAGGGTAAGAGCCTGGTTGAGATCTGGGTCCTCTTTAAGGGTAACAGGAAACCAGGCAAAGTATCCTGAGGTCCTGGTCTTTCTCCTAGTCTGTCCTTTTCGTGTCTGTGGTGCTTCATAGTTTGCAAAGCCCCTTTCCCTCCCCTCCCCACATCCTCACGATCTTCTGGGGGAGACAGGCAGGTATCACCTCCATTTCACAGAGGTGGACACTGGGGCCCAGTGGGCTCTGCAGGGCCTGGGGTTTGAGGTGGCTCTACTGGCCTCAAAGTTGGAATTGGGGTCTGGGAGGTGGGGAGGAGAGGGGCAGAGGATAGAGAGACTGTGCAACTCATTCTCCCGACCTGTCATACTCAGGCCTGGGCTTCCTGGGAGCGGGCGCCACCAAGGCACTTCCATAGCCCCTACTAGACCTAGAAGGGAGCAGGGACCCAGAAAGGGCCATTCTCAGCTGGGGCCACCACAGGTCTGTGGTCAGGTGTGGATTTTTACTGTGGTGGCTCACTTGGCCCTGCCCTGTCTCTGCCCCCAGATCCTAATGAGCACTCACCAGTAGTACAGGCCACTGGGTGCCACCAGGAGCAGGGCAGGCCCTGGCATGGAGTTCCCAGCTTTGGAGGCAGTGAAACAGCCACTGAAGTACATGAAGAGGATGAGGAAGAAGGGGATGTACCTGCGACAGAGAGGCTGTGTCTTAGAGGCCTGCCCAGTGGCCCTGGCCACCAGCTTCCATCCAGGTCTCCTTCCCCACCATCCTTTCACTGCTTCCTTGCATTGTCCCAGGTTTCCAAAACACTTGGCTTGGGTGAGGGATGTGCCTGTGCACCCGGCCTTCCCAGCACTGGGAGTCAAGGGTCACGGGTGGGGCAGGACCAGAGACAAGATGGCGAGGCTCATACCAGTCAGAAGCCCACAGGCTCCACACTGCCCTGGCCACCTCATCCACTCTGTGGCGGAGAGGGGATGGGCCTGTGGGTCTGTCTTATGCACATGCCCAGACACCAGCAGCCTCGGTTCTGCACTGGCCCAGGAAGGCTGAGGATGAAGAACACACTGCTACAGCCTCCAAGGTCCTCTGTGAAGCTCTTCACCCACTCACTCCCAGCTCGCAATCTCATCCGAAAGTTCACCTTCTCTCCTCCCCTTTCTCCCACCTGTACACACACACACACACACACACACACACACACACACACACACACACATTTTTTCTGTTCCGTTTCTTCTCTCCCCTTCCCGACATGGCCCATTTCTAGCTGGTTCCCCAGGCCTCTTTCTTTGCCCCTCCACCCTTTCCAAACCTTCCATGGGAAGGGTCTTCAGGCAAGGCCAGGGAAAGCAGGAAAGAGGCCTGTCCAGGGACCCCCAAGGCCCCCTGAGCCAGAAGGGTTCACTTCATGCCCTGAAAACAGACCCATAACACACGTGGCCTGGGTGAGCCCACGCGGCTCAAGCGTGAGTCCCCAGGCCCAGAGCTGGCCTCCTCTCTCTGGCCTTTTTATCTTTTGCAGGGCACAGGGTGGCAGATGGCACTGCCCAGCTTGAGCCCTGAATCTCCTGAGGCTGAGCCACATTTCTGAGGTTTCCCTCTGACTGCAGTGAGGGGGGATGGGGAAAAGGAGTTCCCCTGGGAGTTGGGGCACAAACGGCACCCCCCACCTCCACTTCGTCACCACAACCTAGTCCTGCTGCTTCTCAGCTTCCCATTCTCAAAGTGCACTGCCTGACCCAGGTAGGGGTCCCTTCTCCAGCCCACCCCATTATGGTCGAGGATGCGGGTGTTGTTTATCAAGGCTGCCACCTCCTTCCTCCCCACCCGCGGGAGCCAGGCTGGGTCAAAGCTGGACAACATCCTCTCGCTGCCCTCTTGTGGCCTCCATGGGCACTGCAGGCAGGAAGAAGGAAGCAGGACCTTGGCCACAGGGCAGCAGATGGGGTCTCTGGTAGGCTCACTCAGCGTCCCACTCGCAGCACCCTCACAGGGGAAGAGAATACCACCCAGCCGCTCCACCCAACACATGGAGATCCAGGCCCCAAGTCCTGCGTCCTGGGCCCTGGAATGGACAGAATGTCCCTTCACTTACCACATGCAATGGCCCAGGTACTCGTCATAGTAGTAGAGCAGCTCAAAGGAGTCGATCTGAGGAGGCGCAGGCATGGCAGAGTTAGAGGGGGAAGTGCTTCAGAGGGTGGGCAGCACGTCCAGGCCCTGCTTCCCACCACGGATCTCCCCTTCCTGCCCCCATTCCCTGCACAGGCTCCAGCCCTCTATCAAAGGTGGCCTCTATCAGAGGTGGCCCAGTTGGGAGCCAATTGATGGGACACTTCTAATAGTCCACGAGCATCCTGGCTTGGCAAGAGTCACAGTGCCCTCACGGAGCTGAATGCATTTACCACAGGTCAGGCCAGGCCGAGGCCTGGAGCCTCCCAGGAGGGCCTGCCCCCGGGGCTTCCACAAGGAGCCAGGCGGCCTCACCAGCGTCTCAGGCTTGAGATTCTTGATGATGGGGTTCTCCCGGACCGACAGGTGGTGCTGGTAGCCACTGAAAAGCAGGCGGTGATTGACAGAGTCGCCCACCAGGTGGATGCTGGCACCCATGATGAAGGTGATGATGCTGATGTAGACCATGGAGCGGGGCAGGGTGCGAGGAGACCGCTCGATGAGCTAAGGGTCAGAGTGAGGTCCACAGCATGTCCCCGTTTCTGTCACAACATGTGACACCCTGTGCCTCTCTCCCTCAAACAGGGGTGGGGTGAGTCCCTCAGGGGGCCAGTCTGGCTCCAGGCTGTCACATGACCCCAGGAACCCAGCAGGGGCTGTGCAATATCTTCTTCAGGGAAGAATCACTTGGGGACAAGCTCACTGCTCATGGTCACATACAAGCCGCATGCCACAGATGACACTAGGCCTTTGATGCCCAGCCCTCCAAGGCCCCAGCTGTGCCTGGGTGGCTGGCTGGTCTGCTGAAGGGACCTGATTTCTAAGTGGTTGGTTCACAGCAAACAGGAAGAAAACATTAGGAGTTGGGTACAGGGCTGGGTCTTCCGAAACTAAAAAACTACACTTTCAGATCATGCCCCTTTTCTTTTGGAGATTTGAAAAAAAAACTTTTTAAACGAAATGACTATGGCTGGCCCTCCATATCCACCACCCCCAGGGGCACCACAGTCCATAGAACTAACCAAACCCAGGACCAAAACATTTGAAAAAAAACCTGTCAGTATTGAACATGCACTTTTCTTGTCACTATTGCCTAAATAATACAGTGTGACTGATAACTGACACAGCCTTTTTTTTTTTTTTTAGCACTCCACCACCGAGCTATATTCCCAACCCTATTTATTCATAATAAGCAATCTAAAGGTGATTTAAAGTGTATTGGAGGGGCTGAGGATGTGGCTCAAGCGGTAGCGCGCTCGCCTGGCATGCGTGCGGCCCRGGTTCGATCCTCAGCACCACATACCAACAAAGATGTTGTGTCTGCCGAGAACTAAAAAATAAATAAAAAATAATAATAAAAAAAAAAAAATAAAGTGTATTGGAGGCTGGGCACAGTGGTACACACCTATAATCCTAACAATTTGGGAGTCTGAGGCAGGACAAATTTGAGCCCAGCCTGGGCAACTCAGTAATTCCATGTTTCAAAATAAAAAATAAAGGCCAGAGTTGTGGCTCAGTAGAATGCTTGCCTAGCGTGCGTGAGGCACTGGATTCGATCCCTGGCGCCACATAAAAATAAATAAATAAAATAAATGTTCTGTGTCCATCTTCAACTAAAAAAATATTTTTAAAATACATAAATAAATAAATAAATAAATAAATAAATAAATAGCTGGGGGCATAGCTCAGTGGTGCCTTACTCTAGATTCAATCCTTAGTACTGAAAAAAAAAAAAAAAAAGTAAACACTATGTCATTTTATGTAAGGAATTTAAGCCCTCTGCAGATTTTATTATCCAGAGGATTCCTGAAACCAATTCCCTGTGGAGGCTAAGGGACAAGTAGTTCAAGAGCCCTTGTCTCCCAGAGGGCAAAATCACAGCCTCTGCCGTGTGCTCCCACTGCCATCTCAAAGCCAGGGCTCTCCAGAGCAGGGGCAGTGTTCAGCTTCTGTTGCTGCCTCTTCTGCCAGGTGGTTCACACCTGCCTCGGCAACAGACCCCAGTCTTTCCCAACACACCCAATCACCTCTTCTGCCTCGTCTCCCAGCCTATCTGCAGGTCCTTTTGCCCAATCACTTCTCCCTCTTCATCTGCTGGAACACTGAGCCCAGGGAGGGGCCTATCTCCATCCCTGCAGCCAACAGCTGCCCCACTTCTGATGGCCCAGGCGCTGGACTCTTCCTTTGTCACAGTCTTCATCCCTTGATGCAGGCTGGGGAAACTGGATTCAGCACCCAGGGCCGAGCACCAGCTCCCTGCTGGGCAGGAGGGGAGGGCAGAACAAAGGACTTACCTTGAGCAAGAGGAAGGGCGTGATCACATTGTAGGCCATGTGGAAGTAGTCCCCCACGCTGGGCTTGTTGAGAGGAAACCACTGGAGAGGGAACACCAGCTGGGGAACGAGGGGAGGAATGTACCCACAAGGCTGGCCTGCAAGGCCTCCCTGCCCCCCTTAATTCTCTGCTGTGTCTTTGTTGTGCAAACTGCCCTCTTAGCAACCTCAGGATGGAAGGACTTCTAGACAGGGAAACTGAGTCCCACAGAAGGTAAATGGCCATGTTCCTAGTCATATAGTAGAYATAAACCCAGGGCCTGAATCTGACCTTTCTCCCAGGGAGTACAAAATAAATGTCCCTGAATTCCAGGAGTCTCCTTTGGGACTTGGCCATGCCACCATTTTGCTGAATGACCCTGGCAAGTTCTTCCCCTTTCTGTGCCTCAGCTTCCCCATCTGTAACACAGGAGAGATGGCCCAAGTAGTCTACTTTGACACACACAGCTCTGGCAGTCCAGGTCTTGTGATGACGACAAAGACCTCGCTGGCCCACATGTGAAAACGGTTCTATCCACTTAGCGGCGGACAGCTTCCAAATCAAATCACAGTAGACATCAGGCAACAAAGCAGAAAATAGATGTGCTCTACAAAGGAACTACGCTTCTTCATTCCTGAAGGAGGAAGGTGGGCAGGGGGCAGCTACTCCATCTGGAATGCCCTGTCCTCCTCTTGTCTATCCCAAGTCCTGGCCTGGTTGGGGTCAGAAGGAAAACCCATATGCATGGTCAAAACATTTCACAATGCCCTGACTATATGCATAGGATCAATAAATTGAAAAATACATGTGACAACTCCCCAGAGCCCCTCACTTGCTGCAGCTGTCTGGTGGTCCGTAGGCCTAGAGCTAAAGTGCTCCTCTGTTTCCTGGTAGGGGAGGCGACTCATCTCGGGCCATTCAACAAATTCAAGTCTCCTCAATGCTAGGCAGGGCTCCATCCTCAGCTTCACACTCACCATGGCAATGGGGCGACCAAAGTCTAGAATCCAGTTTTGCAGTGTAAAGTAGAACCAGAGGTCGAGGTGGAAGGGAGCCGTGTGGTCAGCCTCCTCAGCCTTGATGGAGCTGTGCCTGGGTAGGAACGAGACGAGATAGGTCAGCTCTTGTCCTCCTGTGAGAATATTCCCCCAAGATGAGCCACAAAGAGGTGTGGGGATTTAAAGGTGGGAAGACACACATGACTGAGGTCTAGGGAAAGGTTTTTGATGGAAATATTGGGGTCCAGTTGTATACTCAAGGGGAAGGTGGATTTCAGTTGCCCTGAATATAGACTCCCTGGGATTCTGGAAGGGAGCTGTCAAACCGGTGTAACCACTGTTGACTCTGCCCTGTAAAATGGTGGGGAAATAAAATGAGGTAGAGGAAGCAAACACGGCTGTAGAACACGGAACACCATGATGGACACCAGCAGGAACCTGTATTGGGCAGTTACTTCACCCCAGGCATTGTTATCATGAGCTGTTTACCTGTGTGATCTCATCTCTTTTTTTTTCTTTTTTTGGTGCTGGGGATTGAACCCAAGGTGTCACATACATTAAGCATGCTCTCTACCACTGAGCTACAAACCCAGCCCCTCATTTCATTCCTTTAATCCTCATAGAAACCCTTCGAGGTTAGCATGTTACCCCATCTTACAAGTGAAAAACAGGCCCCAGAGTTGAAGTAACTTGACCATCCTCATACAACTGCGCCCTAAAAACTAAATGATTATGCTGCAGGGTTTACACTTTCAGTCTCCAGCCCAAAGTTATATCCATAGTGATTGGTTCATGGAATGGACATAGGACCTGAGCTGGGCCAAACAGAGCTCTCCAATGAGATTTGCCTTACAGGGGCCGGGAGGGAAAGGGCCTCCTCCCCCTTGACTGTGGGACTAGGAGGAGGTAAGCTTGGGGCTGCTGGAATTCCTCTTCTCACCAATCCACAGTGAAACCTAGAAGGAAGCTGGCAGGGTCAAGCTGACGTGAGAGACGTAGCAAGAAGTGGAATACCACCTGACAACACATCTTTGGATGCCTATCCCTCTAGCAAAGAAGTTGGTCCCAGATGGTTCACAGATGCACTGAGGTTCAAGGGCCAGCTCCAAGGCCTCTGGGGAGGTTTCTCTGATGAAGCCTTTCCCAAAACCCCACCAGCCTCTACAGGAAGCACCTTTTGCTCATTCAGAACAGCTCTGACATCATGGGGTGCCGCAGGCTTCCCGGCCCCTGGCCTAGCGGGCTGGCTGAGCTCCGCTCCTGCCGCTGCGCTGCCTGCCGCACCCCTGCTGAGCGCTTCCCTGCTGTGCTGTCAGTGCACGCTGGCTTGCAATCTTGCAACCCGGTTGGGCACAAAAACACAAGCCAGTCAAACTGAGACAAAGTTTTATTTTGTGAGAGGCCGTGTGCGTCCCCTAACAAGTGGGTCCACCACGTGTGTTCTACCTGAGCCGGGGGCACTCCACTTCCCCCAGAACACCCTCCTACCATCCTTTCCCAACCAATGGGAACTCTCCCATTACAAGAGTGACATGAGTAACCTGAGTCCAGGTAAACAGCAGGAGACAATTAGCATATGAATGTAACTTAACATAATCATAATTTGAATGGCTGGCTGGCAGTCACTAAACCCAAAGGTGCCTGTATCAATATTTTTGCTGTGGCTCCTAGCAATGGGGCTGGAATTGTGCTCCCCACCTGGGCCCTCGAGCACAGAGCTGAACTCTGAGGTTCTCAACTCATCCACCTCCCCATCAGTCCAAATCCTCCTTTAGGCATCTCTACCATTACTTGCATGCCCCTAGAGACAAGCAACCCACTACCTCCTAMGATGACTGATCCAAGTTTCACTGTCCTGTTTGTGTCCAGAATGGGTTCTGTGTGACATGGATCCATGTTCTCCAGAGTTCTCAGCTCAGTACTTGGGTCAGGCCCAGTAACCAATGGCTGATTTAAAACAATCACAATTACCAGTTACTCATTCCCTAATTGCAAATGTTGGCTTAGAAGCATCTTGAAGACTTTCCTCTGTCAATGCTATTTCTTCCATAATTTTCCAGGATCCTTTTTAGCCAGTTCCAAGGACAATCCACACTGGGCTGGTGGAGCAACCAGAGACCAGGGAGGCAAGCCCTTGGGTATCTCACTGTCCTCTGGTAGCAGGCAAGACAGGTGCAGTGGACCCTGCCTAGGTCAACTAAGTCTTCCAGTCTCTCTTAGTCAGTGCCCACCTCTCCTGATGAACACCACCTGTGTACTCTGCTAGGAGTTTTAGCTGTGCCACCTAATCTAATCCTCAGAGCAGCAGTTGGAGGTAGGAGCTGATGCCCTACTGTTTCACAGGTGCAGATGTTGGGGCTTAGAAGGGTAATGTGCTTAACCATTGTCACCCACGAAGTAAGGAGCTGCTGCAACCATTCCTTTTGCCATCTTTTCCCACCCTCTTCTTTCTCTGGGATGAATGGTGTTTCCTTGGCTACAGGGATGACCATTGACCAGGCTGGCCCAGTGGGATATTTCTAACTGGAGGGCAGAAAAGAGACCCCTTAATGCCCCTTTCTGGTTCCAGGGCCCTAAGGATGCAAGAGGCCAATGGCATCCCCTCTGCTGGCCCTATCCTGAGGATGAGCAAGCTCAAGGTTGCTTGTAACCAAGGTTCCACCCTCCAGGTGCTGCCAGGTGTGAATGAAGCAGCCCCACAGAAAAGATGGGGAGGGGAGCAAAGAATGTGCAGTGGCTTGGCATCCCCGGGCCAGTGGGTTGGCCATCTGAGAGAATGCATTCCCTCTCGCTGCAGTTCACCCTGGCTTTCTGTTACTTGCAACTCAGGAGTCCTGAATAGCACAGAATTCACACCTGGGTTTCTATGAATTCAAGACCTGTACTCTTAACAGGTTACTATTCTCTCTTTGGTTAGTATAAAAGTCAGGTGGCATATTAGGAGATCAAATTAGAAAGGGATCAGTGTGGCCTGGGGTGGTATGCAAAGCCTTTGAGAAGGAAGGAAGACTTGAGGTGGGGATGGGTGCCTTGGTCCAGACAGAAAAGCAGAGAGCAGGAGGAAAGGCCTGGAAATGGCCCTGAAGGCAGCTGAGATACTCACTGGGGACAGAGGAAGAGAAAGGAGGGGCAGTGAACCTTCAGAGTGGGTAGAGAGTAATCGGGAGGACAGTTCAGGGCTCTGAGACAGTGCCAGCATAGAGGTACCACCTTGCTCCTTCTTCTTAGTGCCCATCAGGGCAGGGCCTCAAAATGTAGCCAGTAATGGCCTCCAAGCTCAAAGGGCCAGGATGAAGGAGAGTAAGAACCCTCAGTGTTTTGCTTTGAAACCTCCAAACTGGGCAAAAAGTGGGACGTTGGGGACAGAAATTTTGAAAGCCTGTGGAGGTTTTGGGTGCCTTCTGTCTGGACCAAGGCACCCATCCTCACCCCGTACGTACTAGGAACTCAGGAACTATTTCCTCCTCTCTCTTGGGAAGCACCTCGGTGAGTCGGAACTTCTGTCATTTGTCCAACCTAGCTTAGCAGGGAAGGGAAGAAAGAGAAAGTAGTCACAGGGACTCTCAGCCCGGGCATCAAGATTGACCGGCCTGGGCTGGGGTTGTGGCTCAGTGGTAGAGCACTTGTCTAGCATGTGCAAGGCACTGGGTTTGAATCTCAGCACTGCATATAAATAAGTAAATAAAATAAAGGTCCATGAGCACTCGCTTTCTCTCTGGCGTGCGCTTGTGCACTCTCTCTCTCTCTCTCTATATATATATATATAAAGATTGATAAGCCTCTTACTGGTTTCTTCTGTTGGGACTGTTGGGACTCTAAACATCTGACCACAGAAGGCAGATCCATGGAGGCCAACGGCATCCCCTCTGCTGGCCCTATCCTGAGGATGGGCCATCTCAAGGCTGCCCCAAGCTCCCGACTCCACAGACCCCACATGCCAGCCCAGGCCCATTCTACCCCTAGGTCTCAATCACCAGTACCTACTGCTTAGAAAAACGGTGGGAGCACAGTGGCAGATAACCTGAGACAAACTTGGCCTCTGCTTTCCTCCACAGCTCTCCAGATCTACCTTATGGAGAAACTGACACCATGACAGCTGGGGAGCGCGAACGGTACAGTGGGAATACTCAAGGTCATCAGCAGCACCTGCAAGGCTGGATGGCAGAAAAGAAAGGGGCTTGTCCTGGACAAGTAGGGACCTATAAATGGATTCACAGAAAGGCTGATTTTGATTCTATATAAAAAATGGTAAGACAGCAGATATGAACATTTGTGCAAAAATAATTGAAGAAACAAACACACAAAAAAATGGGGGGAAGCAATTAGAAATTTCAGGAAAAATATAAGAAAACAAATGTAATTGTTAACCATCACTTGGGTCCAATGGGAACAATAGCTTAAACAGCTTAAATAATGTCAACACTGTATATTGATTTTCAGTGTTTACAATCAATCCACAGACAAAATGTAGAAGATAATTATGACCCCCTGGTGCCTGGCAAATGCTGGGCACACCAGAGATGCTTAATGAATGTCGGCAGAACCCAATCAATGTTTCTGGTCACTGAAATGGTATGAGCCTCAGTCTGGTCATCGGAGCCTATTTTCTCATCAATAAAATGAGCAGCTCATAGGCTGAGATGAGACTTAGATGGCCAAATGGGTCATAAAGTGGAGGCAGGTGTCACTTAAAGATGGGACTAAGTTTTGAGAAATGTATCCTCAGTGATTCTGCCCTTACGTAAACATCACAGAGTGAGTGTTATTTACACAATGATGGCTACAATACCATTAAATGATGTGATCTTTTTTGTTGTTGTTGTTATTCTGGGGATTGAACCCAGGGGCATTTATCCACAGAGCCACATCCCCAGCCCATTTTTATTTTACTCTGAAACAGGGTCTTGCTGAGTTGCCTAAGGCCTTGCTTTGTTGCTGAGGCTGGCTTTGAACTCTAATCCTCCTGCCTCAGTCTCCTGAGTTGCTGGGATTACAGACATGTGCTACCAGCCCAGCCAAGTGATATTCTCTTACAGGGTGGCCAACATAGATGTAGTTGTTGACCAAAATGTATGTGCCACATGACAACATATCTTCAGGAAATTATTTCCAAGTGAAAAAAGCAGTCTATAGTTCCTCAGTCCACATATTCCTCAGTTGCAAAAGAAAGACCTGGCCTCGGCCCAGTATGCCAAACATCTCCCATCAACCCGAATCACAAGCTTCCTAAAATTGACTAAATACAATGAGGCTCAAAAACCTTCCATGGCTCCTCAGAGCCTGGGGAATAAGGGCTGCATTCTTTTTTTTTTTTTTTTTTTTTAAGAGAGAGTGAGAAAAAAAAAGAGAGAGTGAGAGAGGAGAGAGAGTGAGAGAGAGAGAGAGAATTTTTAATATTTATTTTTTAATTCTCGGCGGACACAACATCTTTGTTGGTATGTGGTGCTGAGGATCGAACCCGGGCGCACGCATGCCAGGCRAGCGCGCTACCGCTGAGCCACATCCCCAGCCCAGGGCTGCATTCTTAACCTGTGAGTCTAGCTAGGTTCAGGGTTGTACCCTGTCCCAGAGCAAGGAGGGCCTCAAATTCTGCACTCCAGTCCCAGCCCTGATATTAAAGGCAATTCAAATATCAGTCCTCCTTTCGCTTCCTTTTACATAGGGAAAGTTCCAGCCCCACTGCACCCCTTTCTCCATACTCATKCCCTGGCTGGAACAGCCCTTCTTCCTTGGGTGCCCTGAGGAGTCCTCTGGGACTCCATGAGCTTCCAACATTACCTACCACGGTTGCTTGGGCTCTGACCTTCCGGGCTCCTACAGGACGGTAAAACCCTCCCAGCTTCATCCTGTCCACCCCCTAGGTGCCTATCAGCGCTGGGCATAACAGAGGTGCTTAATGTACACCTGCTGAGCACAATGCATGTATCTGACAGTAACACAGGATGAAGGCAGAACGGAGGGAAAGATTAAAAGGTGATGCCATTCTTTTGCCCCGCCCAATTAGATACACCCAAACGGGTCTCCCCTACGGTTGGAGAAGGGCTCTGCMTACTCTCGCTGGGAGCTTCCTCGCTTCTCAGCTGTCCCTTCTCACTTTCTTGGGCTCCCCAGGGCAAAAAGTGAGTCTCCCGATTAACAGCAGAACACAAGTCTTATTCAGGGCGGAGAGACGCTGAGAACTCGGAGGCAGCACCCGGAACTTGCAAAAGAGCTGGGAGCGCCTGTGTGCGTGCGGCGGCGTCCTGCGGGTCCCCCGCTCTCGCCGGAGTTTTCTTGGCCCTTTAAGAGTCTCGCCATCCCATCCCGTCTGTTGTCCTAAGGCCGGCCAAGTCACGGGGGAAAGGGTGAAGAGGAGGAGGATCCCAAACTTTGGGAGGGGGCTGCCCCTACTCAAGCCACGGCGGGGTGAGGCCGCCCAGCCTCGGCGGCGGGTCCCGCGGGTCAGGGGGCGAAGGGGCAGTGGCAGTGCAGCCTCCGCCCACGCCGGGCTCCGCTCCGCCCTGGCCCGCCCCACAGAAAGGCCTGCCCGCCGCGCTCCCGGTCTCGGGCCGGGTTGCGGGGTCGGCCCGGCGCTGAGACCGCCGGCCCGGCGCTGAGACCGCCCGCCCGCCCCCTCCACCGCCAGCGCGCGCCCACCTGGCCTGCAGGAAGGAGGCGCCGAGCTGCGAGCCCGGGCCGCCCGCCGCTCCCGGGTGCTGCCGCTTCCGCGCCGCTGCCTCCATAACCATGCGCCCCTCGGCCCAGCCTGCGGAGCTAGAAACCGGCTCCGTAACCGGTGCTAGCGCTGCAGCGAGCGCGGGGTCGGGAGGGAGAGCGCGGCCTGGGAGGCTGGAGGGGGAGGGCGGGGGTGGGCGGGGCGAGCTTCCGCCCGCGGAGGAGGGCAAGCGGCTGTGGCGGTGCTGGGGTGGTGTCGCGCGCGAGCAGGGCGGGGGACCACGTGAGGGCTGGGATTTGCTGGGGTATCCTCCGTTTTCCCGGGAGGCTGACTGAGGCCCGAGTGTTGGGCTGGAACGCTGTGAGGACCTCGGGGAAAAGACCAGGCCAACTCACATGCTCCCCTGGGGAGGAGGCAGGGCCTGATTAACCCTTGTTTGGGGGACGGAATGGCCTGGGGGTTTCGTGTCCTTCCAAGTTATGACGCCTTCATTCTTTGAATGAAAGGTGTTTCTTATTAAAATATAAACACTGTAGCCCCTGAAGACAGGAACTCAATAATCGGTGGGTTAGGAACAGGGAACTCTTTCCAAATTGGGGTGGGGTGGGAGTCCAGAGTCCATTCATGGCTTTGTCACTCTTGGGCTTTGTGGCTTTGGAAAATTCAGTCCCCTTTCCTCTCCCTAATTCATACAGGTGTTAAAGTCTTACTGTGATTGTGCACTGTGCAGGGAAGGACAGATAAACCCTGCTCTAGTGGAGCTTGCTTTTGGGGTTATTGGTAAGTGATGTGAGGAAGAAAGTACTGGGTCAGAGATAACAGAGGAGGTGGGGTCAAAACTAAGGCTTTGGAGGAGAACACATTAGCTGTGGCTTTGGACTTCCAAGGTGACAGTGAAATGTGAACAGGACTGGCCAAACGCAGGGAGTTGGGGAGAGTGCTTCAGGTAGAGGGACTAGTCAGGCAGGGGTCCAGTGTCGAGAGAGTGGCTAGGGTTTGGAAGATTGGAAAGTTCAGTGAGAGCTGSAGAGTGCAAGGTGGAAGAGCTACAGGAGTGGACCAGAAGTCTATCCTCAGAACAGTGTGAAGCAGCTCAAGGACACTGGGCAGGGGAGTGGCATGTATTTGCATTTTAGGCACATTGCTTTCCTAGTGTCCAGGTGAATGATAGGCAGAACTGGAGAYAGGGAAGTACAGGGAAGTACCATGTTCTAATGATGCCGAAACTTTGGTCTTTGTCCTTGACACCATCCAAGAACAAGGACAATGTATTGAGAAAAAAGAAAAAAAWTTTTGCTAGCAAAGGAGTACCCACAAGAGACTTCTGTCTCAGAGGCTGCGGTTTTGACTGCCAGGGGGAATCGTGGGCATTTAAAAAGGGGRTGCAAAAGCTGAACTCCAGGTGTGCCCTATCAGCAGTCATAATTGATTAGTAGAGTTGAGAGACATTGGTTTCTTAGATCCACAGGTGCCAGCCCCAAAGTCTGGATTCCTCCATTCCCATAGTCAGTGAGCTGAAGAACAAATAATTTTGCCTAGAACAGGAAGAAGGTTAATAATCTTGCTTCCCTCATGGTTAGGGAGGGAAAGAGGAAGAAGAGGAAGGGGGACAAATGTCAGTTTTAAAGTAAGCTGCTAGTGGTAGCAATGTTACATTAAAGCATGAAGTGGGGCCCTGTTCACTAGTGAGAGTCCTGGACTGCAAACAGTGACAGTGGGAAGAGAGGTGGTGAAGTAGGGTTGTGTGGGTGGTACCATGGCTATGACCTGGTGCATGGCTGGGGCTGAGGGGAGGAGCTTAGTGGTGGTCAGGTTCCTCATCTGTGTGGGTTGGAGCAATAAATATGATTCATCTTTGGACACACTAAGCTTAAGGTGGGTCAGGAGGCTGCTGGACTTGTGGATCTGAACCTCAGGCAATATCTGGGAGCCTGGCAGACAGACTGGTGAGTCATAGGAATATAGATGACACCCAAAACCTAGGAGACAACATCCCTGTTGTAACCAGGTGGTCCAGAGGGTCCCATTGTTTCTCTCAGCTTTTGTGTCCTCACAGGAGAAAATGTTATAGAAATATAGCAAAGTTTATTAGAGAAGAAGAGAAAGTGCTCCTCAGAGGAGAGCCAAGTGGCACCCCTTTGTTCCCTAGTTTTGTTGGGAGTTGTAGGGAAGTTTTTAGAGTCCTGCCCAGGTACCACCTCTCACCTTGACTGACAGAACAGGATAGCATCCGGTTTTTAAGTCCTTACCCATGGGTACCCAAACAAAAACCATGAGGAGTGGATTTTGCTATTATACCGGTTCTAATTCAAATTTGTTTTGCAGATTTTATGATCAGTGAGCTTTGAATAGCTTTACAGATGACAGGTCCGTTTGCTGAGTAATGTAATGTATCTTATTGACTTAAGCCAGAACAGGGCCAGAATAGCCTTAGGTAAATTGCTTTTTGGGTAAATTGCTTTTTAAGAGCAAACATGTGGAGTGCTAGTATGTAGGCCCAGACTGTGGAGTTAGCCCCTGAACTTCATGTTCCTACTGCTCCTGTCTATCTGCTACCTGTCACTATGAGAAAAGAGAACAGAGCCAGACCTGAGGGCAGGCTGCCTAGACTTCAGTCCTGGTGCCACTGTAAACTAGCTGTGTCACAAATAAACTGTCTTCTCTCAGCCTCAGTTTACTCCTCTGTCTGCCACATTGGCATTGTGATGATTAAATGCTGCAGTGCTTGTGAGGCACCTGGCAGGCAGCCTGGCACTGGTAAACTGGGCATTTACAGTAGTCTCTCTGCACCTATCATTTCCYGCCATGCAGTAAGGGGTTTCAGCTCTGCCTACTTCCATTCTTTTCTCTTTTCTGTCTTTTTCCTTGGGATATTTTTATTGAGCTTCTTCCTTTCCACTTTGGTCTGGTCTGCATGTCCTACTTGGCCATGGGAGGCTGGAACTGTCTGCCTCAAGGTCATTTTCTATTCTGGACTCCAGGAGCCCAGAGGTCACACTTCAGTCCCCACTCATGTGCTACTGGGTGTCACATTTGCTCCATAGCTTACTTTCTCTTATTTGGTTTTTACTATGTTGTAAGAAAAGCAAGTGATGAACCAGTTTTGCAGCAGAGAAAGCCAGTGTTCTGAGCTGAAGTCAGCCAATGACAACTCTCAAACTGGGTCCCAGGTTTAATTCTGGTGAGTCTAATATACAGATTGATTGCAGCATAAATCAGAGGATTGAGGCTTCCTGTTCTGATCCCAATCTCTCATTCTCTGTGGGTTTTGCTGGCTGCAGAAGGAGGGGCTTGAAGTACCCATGATGTGATCATGGATTTAATAATCCTTAGGGGTGGGCTTCCAGCCATCGGAGGACCAGGCTGTGTGGAGGGAGCCTCTCTGACCCATTTACTCCTCCACTCCCTTAAATACTGACAAATCTGACTCTGCCTGGTACTGGCAGCTGCTCTGAGTAGAAGGGAGTCCAAGCTAAAAAGAAGGGCCCCAGGCCTTCCAGAACAAAAGAACTCCATCCTGATAGGGTTAGCAGCCAGGACTTGGTTTAAAAGCACCATCTCTATTATCTCTTAAATTTCATGGAAATTTGAGTGCCTAGGGTAAAGTTGGTACTAATTCTTGGGCACTGGGGTGTACACATTTTCAGAATCTTGCTTGTGACTCTGTGGAGACATGGTTCCTATACACCAAAAAGGCAATTTCAGGGCTGGGGATGTGGCTCAAGTGGTAGCGCGCTCGCCTGGCATGCGTTCGGCCTGGGTTCGATCCTCAGCACCACATACAAACAAAGATGTTGTGTCCGCCGAAAACTAAAAAATAAATATTAAAAATTCTCTCAAAAAGAAAAAAGAAAAAAAAGGCAATTTCAGTAACATGAATAAGTAATCTTTTTCCTGAGAAGTCCTTTGGGATTATCCAGCCCAGTGGTTTTGACTTTTGGTTTAGCAGAAGTTCTTTTTCTTATTTATTTATTGTACTGCAGGTTGAGCCCAGGGGTGCTCACCTGGGGTGCTACACCCAGCCCTTTACTCCTCTTCCTTCTTTCTTTTTCTTTCCTTTCCCTTTCCTTCTTTTCTTCTCTTTCTTTCTACTGGGGATTGAACTGAGACACTTTACCACGTAGCTCCCTCCCTAGCCCTTTTTTTTTTTTTGGTGGGGGACAGAGTACAGGGGATTGAACTCAGGGATACTTAACTACTGAGCCACATCCCCAGCCCTATTATGTACTTTATTTAGACAAGGTCTCACTGARTTCCTTAGCACCTCGCTGTTGCTGAGGCTGGCTTTGAACTTGCAATTCTCTGTCTCAGACTCCCTCACCACTGGGATTACAGGCATGCGTTACTGCCCCTGGCTCTTTTTTTATTTTATTTTGAGACGGGTGTCACGGGGTGTCACTAAGTATCTTGCTAACATGCTAAGACTGGCCTCAAACTCAGCCTCCCAAACTACTGGGATTATAGGTGTGCACCACACCATACCCAGCTCACTTCTTTTCAATTCTAGATATATATATCTGGTACTTTTTAATACACCATCGAAGATACTCCCAGCTATGCCTTTTGTCTAGATCCTTGCCATTTGTTTTTTGTTTTGTTTTGTGGTGCTGGGGATTGAACGCAGGGCCTTGTGCATCCGAGGCAAGCACTCTACCAACTGAGCCATATTCCCAGCCCCCTGGTCCTTGTTTGCCTCCAGCTCCTACTACAGCTGACTTCACAAGGAGGAGTCAGCAGCTCCCTCCATCACCTCCTCCTGGACTCCACACCTTTAGTTGCAGAAGTGCAGGAGTGTTTGACAGCCCATGAGGTAAGCCTTTGATCATTAAGAGGTGGGGGCTGGTAGGTGAATTCTCCTCCCTTCCACTTTCTGGACAGACTGGCCTGTGCTTACAAAGTTTTCACACAGCCTGGGGTTGTGGCTCAGTGGCAGAGTGTTTGCCTCGCATGCATGGATCACTGAGTTCAATCCTCAGCACCACATAAATAAGTAAAATAAAGGTATTGTGTCCATGTACAACTAAAAGGAAAAAAAAAAGGAGAAGGAGGTGTTCGCCTTTGAGATTCTTGTGGTTGTGACTGCCAGAAACTGAGGATAGGTTGATGACAAAAGAGGATTCTATAGAATAAGGAGATGGAAGAGTCTTAAGGGATCTGAGCATGAGGGTGCAGCTGGGCATAGAT